TTCTTTCTTTCTTTCTTTCTTTCTTTCTTTCTTTCTTTCTTTCTTTCTTTCTTTCTTTCTCTCTTCCCCTTCCTTCCTTCTTTCCTCTTTTTCTTTCCCTCTTCCTTTTCCCTCTCTCTCTCCTGCTTTCTTTTTCTTACCTTATCTTTTTCTCTCTTCCTCTTCCTTCCTCTTTTTCTCTTTCCCTCTTTCCCTCTCCCTTTAGTCTCTTTCTCTCTTTTTTCCCTTCTCTTTCTTTTTCTCTTTTCCCCTTCCTTCCTTCCTCTTTTTCTCTTTCCCTTTTCCTCTCTCCCTTTTTTCTTTCTTTCTTTCTGTCTTTTTCTTTTTTCTTTTTCTTTCTCTTTCTTTTCCTTCTTTCTCTTTCCTTCTCTTTCTTTCTCTCTCTTCCCCTTCCTTCCTTCCCTTCCCTCCCCCTTCCTTCCTTCCTACCTATACCTCTTTTCTCTTTCCCTCCCTCTCTCCCTTTTTTCTTTATTTCTCTCTTTTTTCTTTTTTCTTTCTTTCTTTACTTTCTTTCTCTTCCTCTTTCCTTCTTTCCTTCTTTCTTTTTCCTTCTCTTTCTTTTTCTCTCTTCCCCTTCCCCTTCTTTCCTTTCTCTTTCCCTATTTACTTCTCTCACTTTTCTCTCTTTCTTTTTTCTTTCCTGTTTCTTTTTTCTCTTCCTTCCTTCCTTCCTCTTTTTCTCTTTCCCACTTGCCCTCTACCCTTTTTCTTTCTTTCTTTCTTTCTTTCTTTCTTTCTTTCTTTCTTTCTTTCTTTCTTTCTTTCTTTCTGTCTTTCTCTTTCCTTCTCTTTTCTCTTCCCCTTCCTTCCTTCCTTCTCTCCCTCCCTCCTTTCTTTCTCTCTTTCTTTCTTTCTTTCTTCCTTTCTACCTTCCTTCCTTTATTTATTTCCTTCCTTCCTTTTCCTCCCTCCCTCCCTCTCTCTTTTCTCTTTCTCTCTTTCTCTTTTCTTTCTTTCTTTCTCTTTCTTTTCTTTTTCTTTTTCTTTTTCTTTCTCATTCCTTTTTTCTTTTTCTCTCTTCCCCTTCCTTCCTTCCTTCCTTCCTTCCTCCCTTCTTTCATCTTTTTCTCTTCCCCTTTCCCCCTCTCCCTTTCCCTCCCTCTCTCTCTTTTTTCTCTCTTTTTCTTTCTTTCTTTTCTTTCTCTTCCTCTTTCCTTCTCTTTCTTTTTCTCTCTTCCCCTCCCTCCCTTCTTTCCTCTTTCTCTTTCCCTATTTACTTCTCTCCCTTTTCTCTCTCTCTTTTTTCTCTTGCTTCCTTCCTCTTTTTCTCTTTCCCACTTTCTCTCTTTTTTTCTTTCTTTTTCTTTTTTTCTTTCTTTTTTCTTTCTCTTTCCTTCTCTTTTTTCTCACTTCCCCTTCCTTCCTTCCTTCCTTCCTTCCTTCTTTCTCTCCCTCCCTCCCTCCTTTCTTTCTTTCTTTCTTCCTTCCTTCCTTCCTTCCTTCTTTCCTTCCTTCCTTCCTTTATTTATTTATTTCCCTCCTTCCTCCCTTCCTTTCCCTCCCTCCCTCTTTTCTCTTTCTCTCTCTCTTTTCTTTCTTTCTCTTTCTTTTTTCTTTCTCTTTCCTTCTCTTTTTTCTCACTTCCCCTTCCTTCCTTCCTTCTCTCCCTCCCTCCTTTCTTTCTTTCTTTCTTTCTTTCTTTCTTCCTTCCTTCTTTCCTTCCTTCCTTCCTTCCTTTATTTATTTCCCTCCCTCCCTTCCTTTCCCTCCCTCCCTCTTTTCTCTTTCTCTCTTTTCTTTCTTTCTTTCTTTCTTTCTTTCTTTTTCTTTCTTTCTTTCTTTCTCTTTCTTTTCCTTTTTTTTCTTTCTCATTCCTTCTTTCTTTTTCTCTCTTCCCTCCCCCCCTCCCTCCCTTCCTTCGTCTTTTTCTCTTCCCCTCCCTCCCTCTCTCCTTTTTTCTTTCTCTTTCTTTTCTTTTCTTCCTCTTCCTCTTTCCTTCTCTTTCTTTCTCTCTCTTCCCCTCCCTCCCTCCCTCCCTCCCTTCCTTCCTTCCTCTTTTTCTCTTTCCCTCCTTTCCCTCCCTCCCTCCTTTTTCTCTCCCTGCCAGTTTGGACCGCTCTGCAGCCGCAGCCCTGGCCGGGAGCCACCGGCCTTGCCTCTCCGGAGCCCGGGGGCGAAAGCCAGCGCTGTCCAGCAATTCAGCCAGTCAATCAGCTGGGCGAGAAGAGAGAGAGAAAAAAAATAGGTGATGGGGGGGTCTGCTCGCCGCGGAGGCCGCCGGGAGTCGTAGTCCCCCTCCCCGGGAGGGCTGCGGAGACCCCCGCGCCGAGGAACTACGGCTCCCAGGCGGGCCCTGCGCCCGATCCACCCAGCCCGGAGCTTCTCCGCGATTAGCCCGGCCGGACTTCAGCCCATCCATCCGCAGCCCCCCCCCCCAAAGAGGGGGGGGTCGCAGGATGGACCCGGGGTCCGGAGGGCTGTGGACGGCAGAGACCCCCGAGGGAGGCCGGGCGGCTGCTTCCCGGGTACGTTTGCCTGCGCTCTGGGTGCCCCCCGCGCCCGGCCCTGGGGAGGGGAGGGGAGGTGGGTGGGAAAAAGCATCGCGGGTCCTGGGGAGGGGGGGGCGCTGCTTGGGAGGGGAGGGGTCCAGGCGGTGGGGCGAGGCCGGGAAGGGGCAGGGCCAAGGGTCGTCCGGGTCCCTGGACGTTCAGGGACCACCACCCCCTCCCCGGTGACGAATGGGGATGGGGAAGGAAAGGGGAGAGGGAGAGGGAGAGGAGCGAAGTGGACTAAAAATGGAATGGGATGCAATGGAATAGAACAGTAAATAGACTGGAACGGAATGGGACGGAACAGAATGGGAAAGAACAGAAAATGGAACGGAATGGAATAGAATAGAATAGAATAGAATGGAATGGAATGGAATGGAATGGAATGGAATAGAGGATAGGATGGGATAGGATAGA